GCTTTATAAATTGAACTAAATCCACCTTCAGTTAATTTTGTTATATTTTCAAATTGCTCAAAAGGTATCCATTCTAAGATATGGGTGGGCAAAGATGATTTCATTTGACATTGTTGAATAAATTTATCAACTATGTCATCCCCAGATGTCCAGGTGGTGAAAAGACTCTGTAATTGTAATCTAATACAACCTTCACAGAATCTATTAGAATATTTTGTCAATTTACACTTGTTACATTTCCTTGGATTGCCTTTTTTATGCACTGCACTCTCTAATTCAAAGTTATAAATAAACCTTTCTTTACAATATTCTTTTTCATTTTCAGAAAGCTCTTTGTTTTTCTTGACTAATGAAAAATAATAATCTTTTCTATTTTCTCTGTCAGAATTAGCCAATGCATTATTATACATTTCATTATAAATTTTATACATAAAATCCACTCTTCCCGTTGATAATAATAATTTATAATATGACATTATATAAAAATAAAATGTTTTATAAAATTTAAGTTTTAATTTGCGGTGGTGTGTAACAATAATATTTATGGTGACCATAAACTTGAATCTATAGAATATTGGAAAAGGGCAGTGGACAGGTTCAAGCCACACCCGTCCTTTCAAGTTTAGCCCATTAATACTAGAAAAGGAAGGGTGATGGTACGAGTATTTTGCAAAATAATGTAAAAAAGGGCGGGCAACTAAAGTGGAACAGGTGTGGCGTGGTAAAGGACAGATGAAAAAAGGACGGGCTACTGTGCTATTGCCACCCATCCCACTGCTCCTTTTTATTATACGCGGGCAAACTGAAAAGTACAGGTGAAAGGTGTTTGTCATAATATAATTTTTAGTAAAAAGGCTGCAAAATTGGACTATTATAATTTCCCGTCTCTATTTATTCCTTATCTAAAGTCTTGATTTTTATTTTTTATTATACAATTGAGGCTAAAACCTTTGTAAAAATAAAATAATGATGAATACAAATCATAATAGATAATAAATAATATAATACTGTATAATCGGATATATGAAAAGGACAGGGAACGGGCAGGTGTGGCTTGAACCCGTCCCCCGTTCTTTTCATTTTGCATTATTATATTTATTATAGAATATTGCAAATATTAATGCCCGTCCTTTTAAGAAAACATCAGGGACGTGAAATAATGGCGCAGCATACACGTCCCTTTTTCACCCGTCCTTCTCAAGATTTCCCTATGAATAATAGAAAAGAACGGGGGACGGGCTCAAGCCACACCTACATGTCCCTGTCCATTTCATGTATCCGATTATATTATATATTTTAATTAGCTTATTTATTATCTATTATGATTTGTATTCATCATTATTTTATTTTTACAAAGGTTTTAGCCTCAATTGTATAATAAAAAATAAATAAATAGAGACGGGAAATTATAATAGTCCAATTTTGCAGCCTGTTTACTAAAAATTATATTATGATCAAAAATTACTTCAAATTTCAATATTTTCAAATTCTTCAATTTAATAATGATCATGTTGAGTATTATTGTGACATTGATAATGAGATTGTGAAGAATTATGAAAGACCTTGACATGTAATCATTGTTGAAAAACAATACTGATAGTGATGATGTGTTTGATATAAAAATTTGTAAGTTTATAAATTCAGATGTATTTATATATAATATAAAATTAGCTTAATATCATATATATCAAAATAACTTCAAAGAATCTCCAATGTATTTCTTTGGATTTCAAACAAATTGTCTTATTTCAATATCAAATGAAATAATTGTGGTGATTAGAATGACCTTCTAGTATCATCAGTTGGTTATTCTGGTGTAGTAGTTGCAACTGCAAAATATACTATAAATACGGTACCTAGACGTTTCCCCGACAGGATGTTTCCCGACACCGTTTCCCCGACGGGACGTTTCCCCGACAATTACATTTTGTATTACAATATTTATTTGTTTCCCTGCCATGCCATAGCCGGCTAAGTTTATCAAGCCATTTAAGTCTATTAACCCATTCATTAGGCGACTAAGCTGTTTAGGTCGGTTAGGCCATTTAATAGCCAATTAATATTAAATATAGTTAACAAAATCTTGTCGGAGAAATGTCCTATCGGGGAAACGTCCTGTCGGGGAAACGGTGTCGGGGAAACGTCCTGTCGGGGAACGGTTGTCGGGGAAACGTACCAGACCCATAAATACCATGTAAAATTTCCATACTCCATAATAATATTTTTTCACATAAAATCCAAGATGATTTGACTATTCAATGTTTATATAGTTCCAAAGTATCCAATTCAGTAAATATTATTTGTTGATTTTATGCATAATTCTTTCCAAAATGAGTATTTATTTTTGTATGAGGATAGGAATCCACTTATATTGAAGTCATCAAGTTGACATTTCTTAAATGAAGGTGAAATTGATGATGGCTTTGGTTGTGGATACACAGAAGGGATTTTGTAGCATTAGTAATAATAATAAAATCATGATTGTAATATTATTATGACAAAAGGTTAGTTTAAAAATATAATTTCTGAGTTTCTTGATTTTTTGATTTTTTGATTTTTATATTAATTAATAATTATTATTTATCATTGAGAATCAGGGTCAATTACAACTGTCACAACCACTACTTGTTTATATGAAAAATTTTTAAGAAGTTAAGTATGAAAATTAAGAATTCATTGGGGAGGAAATTTTCTAGTCTCAAGAATTATATTTGGATTGTCTGGTAATTAGATACTATTGTGCTCCTTAATACTTGTTGGTGGTGAAAATTCAAGTGTCAGTATTCTATAGGTTCAAGTTTACCATAAATAATATTATTGTTTGTTACACACCACTACAAATTAAAACAATAAATTAATTTAAATTTTATAAAAACATTTTTATTTTTATAAAATGTCATATTATAAATTATTATCAGTAGAAAGAGAGGATTTTGTATATAAAATTTATAATGGAATGTATAATAATGCATTGGCTAATTCTGACAGAGAAAACAGAAAAGATTATTTTTTTTCATTAGTCAAGAAAAACAAAGAGCTTTCTGAAAATGAAAAAGAATATTGTAAAGAAAGGTTTATTTATGACTATGAATTAGAGAGCGCAGTGCATAAAAAAGGCAATCCAAGGAAATGTAACAAGTGTAAACTGACAAAATATTCTGATAGATTCTGTGAAGGTTGTATTAGATTACAATTACAGAGTCTTTTCACCACTTGGACATCTGGGGATGACATAGTTAATAAATTTATTCAAGAATGTCAAATGAAATCATCTTTGCCCACCCATATCTTAGAATGGATACCTTTTGAGCAATTTAAAAATATAACAAAATTAACTGAAGGTGGATTTAGTTCAATTTATAAAGCTATATGGACAAGAGGTCATATAATTGATTATGATGAAAA